GATAACATTGAATAAAAAGGCACAACTGTAATAATTGTCAGCAAGTCGATTTGAGTCGGCGAAAAGGTTACTGTTGTGAAGCTTCGCCTGCCGTGATGTATGCTCTCGCGCCAGCAACCAATCGAATGAAGTGGAAGTATCGATTGACTTCAAGCGTACACACTTATCAAGCGGCGAGTCAATCGATAACGTTAAAAGGCCGATAGCATGCGGGGTGGATAATTTGTCACGCATGAATTTAAGTCATGGCAGACCATGGCAGGATGAGTCAGTGCAGTCGCGCTGGGCCGCAGACTCCTACAGCTCTATCCTTTCTTGCCACGCGTGCAATGTCAGTGATAGGAGCTCCATGATTACAGAGTTACGAGGATGGTAGATTCCGGTGAGGAGACGTGCTGATCAACCGGCTTTGAGTTAAAATCTCGGGTGTGCAGTCAGGGACGGCGGATTGTTAGCACATATGCGAACCTAATGTTACTCACACTAGAACAGTTTTTGTTTCGTGCAATTGTTTGCTTGTTTCCCGTGAGCAACGTTGCGTTATCCGACTTTCATCCCGGAACTCTCCACACTTCTGAGAATTTGAGAATTTATAATACATCCGACTGCGATCGACGGGACAACGAGCTTGTGGCTCGAATTTTAGGGCGTCAGACTGCTGACCAGAGGTTGCGGGTTCGATTCTTAGGGATGGCAACAACTGGAGTTTGGTGTGGCTATTTAATGATCGCTAATAAGCCAAAAAACTGCCTTTCCATTCTGCAAAGGCCGCCCAAAGTTGGTCTTGTTCAATGAAACCCAACCACAAGACAAAGTACAGATTAAAGAGGACTGGATGGAACGTACAGTTCACTTAACTGATGGATCGATAAGTATCTACCCAAATGTGCTGCGTCTCTGTCCCTTACGCATGATCACATTTCGCATACTGACATAGTCACAGGCATGGAGATATACCCAAGAGGTAAGAAGCAGTAGTTGACTTCGTCCGGTTTAGCAGGCCTGCCGACATCACTTCTGAAGTGTGAAAACTATATGCGCTAAAGGTTTGAAGAGAAAAATATGCATGGCATATTCGACACCGAGCAGGAGGAAGTATAGCCAGAGCTATCCGATCTGAAATCTGTCCAAAGATATGGCGCTGTCTCGAGCCTACCGGGAATTTCACAGTCCCTGATTGACTACCTGCTACAAGCCCGTGGCTCGCAAATGGGAGACTTGCCTCATATACTCTGCGGCGTATATCTTACCATCAATTCCAGAGATAACTTAGCCGACTAATCGGAGTGTAGATGAAGCGAAAAGACGCGTCCCAAGAGCGTATCAGAGGGTAGCACCTCAAGACCAAACTGTTACGCCTTCGGAACATTCAACACACCGCAAACTATAGCATTGGTTCTCATGGAATTAAGTCGAGTTGCTGGTCACATGAAAGTACTTATCTTATCTGATATATTGCTGATGTCGTATAGTTTTGAATGCGATTCTTGAGAAGCATCGAACCTCTTCATGAAAACAAAAGAAAAAACAAAATCCGGCTGAAAGTGAAATAGCCTTTAGTTGTTAGAAAAACGTGCGAGAACACTGTTTTCGTACATAAGCTCATCCGAGTTCATGAAGGTTACGTAGTCTCCACTTGAAAAATCACGGCTTGGTGGTACAAGCCGCCCTTTGTCTGCATTGGCGGCCGACAGAGCCTGGAGAATGAGGTCATCCAGATCGTAGACAACGCGGTCAATAATGTCATCGCTGTCCAGCAGTCGTCGGACGTCGTCCAATATCTCAGCATGTTGTAAGCCCATCAAACTGAAGGGCACAGAGCCCGGAGGATTCGAGAGCAGTGGGTTTACACTGTTGGGCATTGAAATGGGCGCATTGGTCGTAGTACTGGCACTTACACTGTTGGCAGTTCGGGGTGAACGCTTGGCGGGCACGGAGGAACTAACTGTAATAAACAAAAAGCTACTTTATTACCGCCAGTAGCAATGTAACAAACGATCAATTTTACTGTCGACGTTAACGTTTTACCTGGTTGTGGGGCTGTTTCAACAGGGTTCTCGAAGACTTTCAGGTGATGTTTGAAGAAAGGCTCCTTGTAGGGTGGCCCAGTGGCACAAATGAGATCAGGGTAGGCAACCAACTTCTCAACCTGGGGTACACTGTAGTCAATTACACTCTGCAGCTCTCGGGCATGTATAAGGTATTTTTCGGGGTCTGTCTGAGCGGCTTCAGTGTCGGTAATGAGACCTTAATCGTCAAAGAGGGATTAGCGAATCAACAACGAAGCTTTTACAGAGTAATGGCAACTTATTGTAAAAATCGTCATAACTTGTAATTATAGAGTGGAACAGCCCTTTCTGTAAGGGCTGCCACTTCGAGCCTTAAAGCAGGACTGCAAAGTTGCCAAATCTTTAAAAATTTGTATTGCGTGTGGAGGGAGTACTAGTTCTGAAGGATCCGTCTGATATCGCCGAGGCGAATGCAAAAATAGTACCTTCAAAATCAAAGATGCGAACCCCCCACACTACGGATAATTGGTTGAGTTCAATAAGAACGGTTTACTTTTAAAAGCGAATGTTCGGCAAATCAGCCACGAATAGGCGGAACAATTTTACTGCTTCTTCCCATCCACTGTATGGGCACAACTAAAGTTGTATTTCAGTCAGTATCAGTCAGTATATTTGGATTAAATGACCGAAGCCCTTAAAAACTCCATTGAAATGGTACAGGAATGCATAAGTTTTTGTGAAATATGCAAACATTGTTACAGATCGCTTTTGTTGTGCAGAAGAGCACAGAAATAATTTGGAAATATGAATTGTTGAAAGGTGAAGCGTTTGCGGAATGGCAGCGTACAAAATGTTCACTGTATATCCAGTCTCTTGTGATCTTCTAGTGTAAATAAATACGCTATTTATCGCATCTTCACTAGCGATGCAAAATGATACCTCTACGCTAAGGTAAAGCTACGAAAAACTGATTAAGCCACTTTTAACAAACAAAATCTCGGGCGAAGCAGAATCTTCATGCTCAAAAGGCCCTAAATTGTGTATTTTGGGGCTGTGTCCGCTTAATCTATTACGAAATCCAGCTGTGCACGGAAACCACTTGGAGGAAACGGGGGTCTAACTGTAATAAAAACATGTTACTTAGTAATGCCAGTAGCAATCTATTATGGAATCAGTTGTGCAGGGGAACCCCACCAACAAGGCGCTTACAGAAGCGAACAGGAAAGTTCTAGGGAGCAGTTCCGAGAAAAAGGACGATGCAATCTTTTGGGGCATTGCCGAGTCATAATTACCTGGATAGGTCAGTACTTGCATGATCTGAGTTTTGTTCCCATTCAATGTAAACGCAACCTAGTTTATACTCTCTTCCAAAGGACTAGAAAAATCTGTTCTATGGGCACATTGGATGCAGAATTAGAAAGGCTCACAGATACCTTACTCAAGCGCGGATATCCAGCTCAGTTTATTGACAAGTATATTCAACCCTTATGACCCAAAAAGACGGAACAGCTGGCTCCAAAAAAGTTTGTTTTCGTTTCCTTGCCCTTTAAGGGCGATAGCATTTTAAACACCATCAAGAGACGCTTGCTTAATTCCATTAATAGGACTTACTGTGCTGCCGAGCTCATATTTATCTCTCCAACTA